GTGCTCTCTTTCTTACACTCTTCCTCTGCCTTGTCTTTGAGTGGGTATTTATGGACTAATCATACTGTAACCGTTTTAAAGCATACTTGTCATTTAAGAGAGTGGTATACACGCACATTCATGTATTAGCAAATTATTTTGGCAATTTTGTCTGAGTGGATGGGTTATTTGGTGGTATTCAAAAATAAATTAATCGTGTTATTACAAGGAAAAAAACTGTTAGTGTAATAGCACTTTAACACTTTTTAAAGGTGTTTAAGTAGGAAAAGAAAGCAGTTGATTCCGCTAATTACCGTAAGAAGTCGTAAGCGTGAAACCAGCAAATGGGACCCACTAAACACGTAAGCGTAACGGATCACGTTACACGTGGCAGCATTTTGTGTGTTCTTACGACGGCAACCCACGCGTCTTCAGACTCATGTACACATACAGAGCCTCTTACTTTATTTTATTGACCCTTTGCCTTTTTTATGGGTCGGCCTCTCTCATATTTAATTCAGAGGCAAAGACAAATAATAAAGAAACTCATGTGCCGTTGCTCTTTAGGTTTTTTCGGTTGGGTCGACGACAAAACAAGGACAAGAAATTTATTGTAATCAGGAAAATGGTTTTTCTCTTTAGTTTTGTTTCTTTTGACCTAAACACGCTTTCAAACCAGAAGAAAGAAGCATAGGCGCAATAAGCGGATCTAACTTTCACCGACCCGACCCAACCCAAGAATTCACTCTACTAATCCCCCGCCATCAATTACGGTTCAGCTTTTTCGAAAGGAAAATTTGTTGTAATTGATTATTATAATATATAAGGTTGAGAGTCTACTTACTACCTGTGGGACTTTAACAAAAAAAAAAATACTTACTACCTGTGATTATGAAAATGATAAGAATGTTCGGTGGGTTAGTTAAGTGGAAACAAACTCAAAAGGACAAAAAACTAAAAGAAGATAAGAGTTTTAATTTCCCAAGGAAACGTTGGATTGAGATTAAAACCTGAGGCTGAGCCGTATCGGTTAAATACAGACAAAAATAAAGAGGAAAAAGCTAACCTGAGCCGTGCCATTTGCACTTTCTCTCATCTTCTTCAAGGAACATTTGAAGCCCAAAAACCCACCACACTACTACATAGCTCGGATCTGTCCTCCATAGCCATAGTACTTGAGTAGTCCCTCGTCTTGTCTCCAGTTCTCTTTCACTTTCACTTCCACCTTCATTCACCATTTTATATGTAAATTAATCATTTTACTCAATGCAAACTTACAGATGTAATCAATCATATTCTCTATGCAAATTTATAAGCACCTCGAGAAAGACTTTCTTCTGAAGGAAATCTTCAATGTCAAGCCGAGCAGCCGTTGCTAGTGTTTTCAAAGCCTTCCCTTCCTACAGTATCCACATTGAAACCCATTCAGCCAAATTATTCAGTACTACAACTTGTCTTAAGATGAGAGCTTATTGCTTTAAGACGATATTTGAGTGGAACAGCTAGTAAACCCAATTTTCAGTTTCATCAACCATTGACAAGTTAACGGTATGTACTTTATGAATGTCCACAAAACCTAGCAATAGGATTTTAGCACAAGAACGGCTCAACGCAACAACATTTACTCGTTTAGATGTTTAAAGGTTGTATACACTTACTTTTCCAATTAGGATGATCTTCTGAGAATTTTTATCCACTACTACTTCCACTTGAATAAAATCTTTTGCAGCTGGTCTAGTTTTGTAGCTCAGCACGTTCACCTATTGCATAGCAGTAATGATATAATCAACCTCAATCCCACAATTGGTTTACAGGACTCAAGAGAGAAGATATCATGTTTGCAAACTTGTCATTTTACCTGACACGCATAAGGAACTTCATTTCGATACTGCATAAATATCTTCTCTCTAACAATCTCAGCAACAAAGAATCTCTCTGGGTGCTCACTCACAATATCCTAGATATCAAATAGCCGTATAAGACATTAAAGGAAACTAGAGAATAAGCTCTGCTATAGCAAGAACAGGAATTCAATAGTGAAGCGGGACTTTTGAATATATACCTTTGGATAATAAGGTGGCCCAAAGGGAAGTTTGGATAGTATCCACTCTTTTACATCCTCTATTCCATGTCCGTACTTTGCACTCACAGGTATAACTTCATCAACATCTGTAAATTTTTCATACCACTGCAAGGAGTTGCATCATCTATTAAGCAAAGAACATACCATGACTCCAAATCTTGATCTCAAGTTTTATAGTGAGCATCTTCCCACCACTGCAAGTTCATTCTAGAACTGTGGGATTACAATAACCATTACTAAAGTTCAAGGATATCTACAAACAAACATACTCACCTCTAGTTTCTTCGCAATCTCACCGGGTTTGATCAAATCTTTCTTATTCATAACAAGCAACATCGGTGGCTTTTTTTCGAGGTCTCCCAATCCTTCTTTCAAAACTTCTTCTATCTAGCACATAGACACCAGAATTAAGACTATGGAACTAACTAAACGTACAATTCAAGAGAGTAAAAAAACAAACATAGAATCATACTTTTGCAGGCACTTTACATGCATCAACGAGAATTACTACACAATCCGCATTGACTGCAGCATCACGAACATTCTTCATCATCATTGTATCTAACCTGTGCATCTTCTTCTCGATTACACCAGGAGT